TAACATTGTCTCATAATTCTTTGCAATCAAGTCAAGAAACGATTGAAGTGTCAACTCTGCATCAGGCACTGTTCCAGTTGCTGGAGTGATAGCGGTGAACACAATATAAACAAATAAATATAAATAAGTCCCATTTGGCTTACATTTTAGCGCTTCCTCATTCCCTCCTTTTCTTCCTCCCTTCCTCCATTCATTCATAAACATACTGGGACTTTCTTATTCATCTTTGTATCTCTATTGTCTGGCATATAGTAGGAGAAGTGTGTGGGTGTGGGTGTGTTGGTTGGTTTGACCACGTACTATTTGCTAACTGCTATGCTAATGTTATAGGTAGGGCCCAAGAGAATAAACCTGGAATATTCCTTTCCCATAAGCAGCTTATGGAAGAGGAGGTGAATGAAAATAACACTAAGGTGTTATTTTTAAGGAACAGAAAGAAAGGACATTTGGTGACACTGTTGCTACAACAATTTATTTTTACCTCCTCAGAGTTAGAAACTGAACAGCTAGAACTTGCCCCTGGTGAAAGCCATACTGGCAGGAAGGAAACATCCTTGTCAAGCATTTCCACCTAAGGCAGAAGAGAATGTCTGTGGGTGGGAAGCCAGAGATGGAAAAGGAATTAGTAGTATAGTTTGAATTTGTTCCTACAGGATTGCCTTTTTTTTTTAAGGAATCTCAGCTAAAAATTTAATGTAGATTGTGTGTTTTGCTCTGTAGTGTGATTGTTTTGTAAAAGTAATGTTTTCAATTATTTACTACAGTATAAAAGTGATCCACATGTATCCTATGGCTTCTAGGAATCGTGGCATACCTCCACACTGATCTTTGTTAAATTTCTCACTGTCCCTTCCTTGGTAAAGCCGTTCACATTTTTATCTTTTCAAATGTGGCCCTTATCATATTTCATTTTGGTACTTTTGTTCTTTAAAAACATTAGGAAGCATCAGTTAGGACAGACTACAGCACCTTTAATCAAGAATGACATTGTGCTCTTGATTTACAATGATGTAGAAAAGAACAGAACATCAATAGAAATGTGAACATACCCAGTACTGAAGGAGTTGCTGGAGGAACCAGCAAAGTGGAACTCAGCTAGGAAGATTTTGTAGATAACAGTTTTTCATGTAAAGGACTACAGACAGTATGGCTTGGCAGGAGGGAGGAGGGAAGGAATTTCTTTCTGTTTGACAGAGTGTGAATAGGGAAAATGGTACCTATGAGGACTTGGAGAAAGAAATGGTGGTTATTGTAGCTGTTAAAACTATCAGGCTTTCCAGAATAGAGAGCATGAGCTAGTGGGAAGAGCACTCGACTGGGTGATCCTGGTTTCACTTTGCTTTGATTTGCTGAGTGCAACTGGAGAAGCCACTTTAATCTTTCTAGACCTAATTTCTTTATCTTTAAATTGAGGAAGTTGAAATAATATGATCTGTGATTTACCTTCCAGCTCCAGCATTCAGTAATTCTGGCTTACCTGCCAGATGAGATGGCCTGGAACCTTTTGCTTTAAAGTTCAGTTTCTGTTCCAGTCGCAGTTTTATAATTGCAGTTTACTTGAGAGACTTGCTTCTTGCCTAGCCACCAGGCTTAAAATGTGACCCATTCAAATCTTCCCTTTGCCTCTCATTTACTTCAGTCAGATCTTGAACTCATGTTTCTCCCTTTTCCTGCTATTTCTCTCATTTAGTAAGTCCTTCAGAATCTTTTTCCTGGACCGTTGCTGTGTTTAACATTACCTCACCTTGCACCCTATGCACTGAAATTTATCTTTTATACACAGCAGCTAGATTAACCTCATTGTGCCTCTCCTCTAACTGTAGTGGATCTCCACTGTCTTCCAAAGAAAGGCCAGACTCAGCTATCAATCTTCCCTCACATTACTGCCCTCACGTAATCTACAGAATAGTTCAATTGAACCTAATATCCTCTTGGTGCCTTTGCTTATGTTTTCCCCTGCACCTGGTTGTGCCCTTCCTCTCCCCCACTGTCAAACACGGTCAGTTTTTCCATCTCAGGTGCCACCCACTGTCTTTCCACAGCCAAGAATAATCTGTTTCTTCTCAACCCCCATGGCATCCTTTTCTGTACCAAATAGTGCTAATTACTTTGTCTTTTTTTTTTTTTTTTTTTTTTGT